CACACACACACACACACTCTCTCTCTTTCACACCGGCACTGGGTTTATTGTGCACTGTGATTCAGCAGGCGCTTGATGTGTTTGTCTGGTCGTCATGGTGACGTGTGTGTGTGTGTGTGTGTGTGTGTGTGTGGTTTCCTTCCTGTTCACAGCTGTAGTGATGTGTTCAGGGAGTGTGTGTATGTGAGAGAGAGGAGAGTGAGTTGTGTGTGTATATGTGTGTATGTCAGTGTCAGTGTGTGTTTGACGTCAACATGACGTCACATTGATGTTGTACCCTAACGTTGTGGGGACGTTGCACTTTGTTTGTAAAATGACGATCGGGTTGACATCAGAAGTCTTCACTGACATCCATGTCCAACGTTCAACCTAAAATCAACCAAATATCAACATGTGATGATGTCACAGCTTGACGTTGTGTGGACGTTACCACTATGACGTCTATCAGACGTTGAATTTCGTTTGCCACACCTTACATATAAATATTAGTATTTGACGTTAGTATGATGTTGGTTTAAGATGTTGGCTCAATGTTGGATTTTGGTCACTTTAACAACCTAAAATCAACCAAATATCAACGTCATGTGACGTCATTATTGGACATCAAATTAGCATTGTTCTTAGACGCTGGATAGACTTGAATTTTGGTCACCTGACATCACAACCTAAATCTAACCTAATGTTAACGTCTGATGGCGTTGTGTGTGTGTGTGTGTGTGTGTGTGTGTGTGTGTGTGTGTGTGTGTGTGTGTGTGTCTCCTCAGTTAAATGACTCCTGCAGGGTGTTTGATTTTAATGTTTGTTTTTTTTCAGAGACGACATGGGAGAGACCGTCCAGCACACCGGGGACACCCAAAACACCCCTCAAACACACACACTCCAGCGGCACAGGTACACCAACACACACTTTTCTCTTTGCTTTAGTCTTTTTGAGGTTTACATGTTCTAAAATGAAGCTGGGTTTGCTGCTTAGCCAGTTCAGTTTCAGTTCTACTAATCCTGGGTTTTAAATTCCATAAAGGCAGCTCAGGTTTAATCCATCTTTGTCATCATAGTAATTCATACTGCACCGCTATGTTATATTAATGTTTTGTTCTGGTTGTGTTCAGGTTTGTTCTGCTTATTTTCAGGTTATGTTACGAATTTGTTCAGGTTGTGTTCAGTGAATGTTCTGGTTATGTTCCTGTTATGTTCAGTCTATGTTCTGGTTATGTTCCTGTTATGTTCAGGCTATGTTCTGGTTATGTTCCTGTTATGTTCAGGCTATGTTCTGGTTATGTTCCTGTTATGTTCAGGCTATGTTCTGGTTATGTTCCGGTTGTTTTCTAGTTGTGTTCAGGTTATGTTCTGATAATATTCTGGTTATGTTCCGGTTGTGTTCAGGATATGTTCTAGTTATATTCCTGTTATGCTCTGGTCATGTATAGGTTATGTTCCAGTAGTGTTTAGGTTATTTTCAGGCTATGTTATGGTGATGTTCTGATTATGTTCTGATTATGTTCAGGTTGTGTTCAGGTTATTTTCAGGCTTTGTTTCTGGTTATGTTCTGATTATGTTCTGATTATGTTCAGGTTGTGTTCAGGTTATTTTCAGGCTTTGTTCTGGTTATGTTCTAGTTGTTTTCCGGTTGTATTCCAGTTTTGATTATCTTCTGGTTATGTTCCAGTTGTGTTCAGGTTATGTACAGGTTATTTTCAGGCTATGTTCTGGCTATGTTCCGGTTGTGTTCCAGTTATGTTCTGATAATATTCTGATTATGTTCCAGTTGTGTTCAAGATATGTTCAGGTTATGTACAGGGTATGATCTGGTTCTGTTATGTTCTGGTTATGCTTAGGTTATGTTCCAGTAGTGTTCAGGATATGTTCTGGTTATATGCCTGTTATGTTCGGTCATGTTTAGGTTATGTTCAGGTTATTTTCAGGTCAAGTTCTGGTCATGTTCTGGCTGTGTTCAGGATATGTTCTTGTTATGTTCAGATGTAAAGAACATGTCAAATCTT